TCCATTCCCACCTCCTCCAGGACAAGTCCTCCCCCGAGGACTGTGATCGACTTGGTAGACTCAGTCCAGGGAGGTCCAGTCCCTTCCTCCCAGACTGAGCCAAATATCCATGCATAAGTTCCTGGTTTCAAACAGCCAACTCATGGAATGAGCACAGGACTTGGTCCGAAATAGTTCATTTTCTAAATGAAATAATGTACCTCTCATAAAGTAAACCAATGAAAGAACAAGCTACACAGTGTCATATTTAAACTCTCCTTTACTAGGATGCTTTACATACAGGAGCAGTATATCCATGCACCTTTTTTCTCTTGCATAACTACACTAAATAAACCTACTCAATATTATTCACAATAAGTGACACAGGCGTCACCTCCTAAGAGGCTACACTACAACCAGGCTTTTGAGATACAACAGGAATATCCAAGGTGCATCTGAATTCAGAAAGGAAAATCTGCTCAGCTCCCTAGTCCTGCCAACTCTGGCCAGCTTTTATGAGCTAAATATGGAACCACAATTGCCTCTGAGACCAAAACCACAGAAGAGAGTCTCAAAGGACTAGCTGGAGACATAGGGACAACTGAATTTGGTGGTCTGCTCAGGAAAAACACTGTTCACTAGTGTTTGCCGAGAGTAAGTGTTCTTCTGCACTTGAGATGGGTGCCTGCTACACACAGAAGGACCTGACATTCTGAAACAAGCCTGGCAGCCTCACTCAGCTTTGCCCTCGTTTACCCATAATTGAGTCAAGTCAGCTGTATTACACACACCCCCAGTGACACAAATATTTCCAGAAAGACCTACCTGTCATCCCCTTGAGAAGGCCTTTCTTCCTTATCAGAGGTTTGTCTCAGCGCCTCTTTTTCTCTCTTCTTTTTTTCCTTCTTTTCTTTCTTTGAGAGAGTTCTTTTGAAGTTCTGAATAACGCCTTCTTTGTCCTGCTTCTCTGGTCCATTACTCTGAGCCTTCTGGTAAAAGTAACATCATCAGCACACCGACCACCACCAGGAACCACACCCGGGTCCTCAGGTTCTGCTGCTTCCTGTACCCCACGAGCCAGACAAGTCAACAAACTCACACAGTAAGAAGTGGGGAGCACACTGTCACCTGACTAAGCTGACAATGACATTGTAAAATCTTTCACAACCAAGGGAACTGTACACTTAGGATATATTCATTTCACCATATGTAAATTTCATCTCAACTTAAGACTAATAAGAAAACAAAAATCCAAATTCACATAAAAAGTAAGGTACAATAAAAAAAAAGGAAAGAAAGAAAATAGGGTACAAATCAAGAAATCTGACTTTTAATAAGTAAAACCCAAGAAAGTTATCATAAAGTAACCTGAGAGAAGGAATCTGATGGGAATATCTTTCTGTATGCTTGAATATATGTTGCTCTGATTGGTTGGTAAATAAAGCTGTTTGGCCTATGCCATGAGAAGCAAGATGTAAAAGTGCTGGTAAGCCACAAGCCACGTGGCAAAGTATAGATTTATAGAAATTGACTAATTTAAGATATAAGAACTAGATAGCGAGAAGCCTGCCATGGCCATAGTTTAAAAATATTAGCCTGTGTGTGTTTATTTGGGTCCGAGTAGCTGCTGGAGAGATTTGTCTGGTGAGAGAGATCTGTCCTGACCACAGGCCAGGTGGGACACAGGAAAACTTTCAGCTCCAAATGGCACCCACACCTGGTGGCAGAGTTTCCACATAAAACCTGAGAGAGCTTAGGAAGAGATTACAAATGTAGCTAAGAGCACCTTCCTAGTCATGTCACTCATGGTGGGCCTAGGTACAATGATGTACATAGCTTTGGTGTGTTCGCGGCATGCAGGCTGGAGCTACAGTGGTAGATTCCCTCCAAGTTACACAGAGGTTTCGGCAAGCTGTGCAACATGGTGCATGGTGGATATAGCTTTTGCTAGTACAAAAAAAAAGAAAGGTTTCTGGGCTACACGTTGCTTTAATAGAGGCACAGACCCACTGCTTCCGAGAGTTAGTGGTACACATGGCCCAGAGCTGAATTACCTCCACCATGTTGGAAAGCTGAAGTGGGCAGAGTCAGCAGTCAAGGCAGCTGCTTCAATCCTAAAAACACAGTTTAGTAGTTTAAAAATCTCTCCAGGTCAGAGAAGGATTATAGACTCACAATAAGGAATCTAGTGAAAATATGGAGGGAAAAAAGTCTACTGAATAGGTATTTTCTACAACTGCAAAGAAATATATTAGCAGTAGCTATCTATAAGCTGGTTTTCATGAACCAAAGTTGTACCTATTTCTGAAAAATGTCTAATTTATTTTCCATATCTTGTTTATTAGTTGCTTATCTTAATTTGAATTTTCAACCTACAATCTCGCCTGTTAACATACAAAGCTACATTGTTTTTAAGTAGTTTACTACGCAAAGAAGAAAAATAATAGTTATGGTATGGAGGAGGGGAAAAATCTACTTCATTAAAAGGTGAGTAAAAAAAGAACATTATTATTATTATCCCATTTCATTCATAGACACTTATGACACTGTATTACGTGCCAGTAAGGACCAGCGGCCAAGCTGAAATCAGGGTATACATAAAGCATGAACAGTAAAGCCATGGGACCCATTCTACTTTACAGCAATGCAGCTAGCCACCAGAACCCAGCGACGAGGAAAGCCAAGAGCACATCTGTGTAGACATCCAGGATAGCACACAGCATGGACACAGAAAATCCTTGTTGTTATACAGTAATAGTGTTTTCATAAGAGGAAAATTTACAAGGTAATTTCAACCTCTGTATTTGCTACCACTTGTTAATACCAAAATATTACATAAGATGCCACTCAATTCAGCACAGAACTACACACTTTCCAATTATATCCATGGAGTATGATCAGCTGTGCCCAGCTCCTACCTCCAGGACTGCCACATCCAACTGTGAGTCAAAGCAACCCCTTTCTCTTTAAGTTGCTTCTGTCAGGGTGTCTTATCTCAGCAACAGAACAGCACCTGAGACAGTCTATTACACCACCCAAGGAAGCTTCCCGATTCCTAATCTTAAATATGTAGTATATGAAAATGCTTTCAATATGCCTTAGGAAGTTGCATATCACAGTAGGTACCCAACATTTCCCTTGTCCCTTTTACTTCCTACAGAACAACTTTGATTCTCTAATTTGGAAGAAAGCTGAAAATGACAAGCTGGTCATCAGCTTTTCTCAAAAGCACACAGAACTCCTCGGAACAGTGAGGAACGATGAGTGGGTGACCAAACAGGCAGAAGAGGCTGCTTCCCTAGTGTGACCGAGGAGGTAAAGGACTCCAGGAAGAAGAGTGGAGAAAAGCTCCCACGGCAGAACATAAACCTCGTCCATGCTGCTGACCCAGCCCTAGACCGCAGCTGGCATCAGACACAGGCATTGCTCCCACCTTGGCAGGAATGGCGTCATTCTCATTCTTAAGGACGAATCTCCCTTCCCGATCGTCCTTGTTCCAATTCAACTGCACAACTAGAGGTTTCTCATCAATGTCTAATCTTCTTTCTTCTTCAAAACATGAATGGAAAAGAAGAACAAGCCGTGGTCATTTCATGGCATGAGCACAGCATCTGCCATATGAGATACATTTAATTTATGCACATAAGTATTTTAGTCCCTCTACTTGTTGATAGGTTAGAATGTATTGTTTATAATTTCATATCAGTTTTAATTAGTCCAGCACCTTGTTGCTACTGTTCTACCATGCTAGACACTGACCAGGTGAAATGTATTGTTAAGAATGTTAAATCGGTTTTAATTATTGGATATTTTCTTGCTAGTGAGTGTGTTTGTCACCACAGATCCAGTGCCAGACACTGACCAGGAAAAAACACTTCCTTTATTCTGATAAATTGAGAAAACTAAAGAGATGCACATTTCTATATATCAAACTATCCCAATATGCAAATAGAAAATAAGGAAATCATGTTAATGGTACATACAGCTCCATTGATTCAGATTTTCCTTATCAAGAAATGGCAATAGACCCATCACCTGTCTCAAGTGACGGATGCACTAGCCTTCCCTTCAGTGAAATTGTCCTCCAATCTACACACACACACACACACACATCATGACATGTGCCTCCTCACTCATATTCCTCTAAGTAACCCCCCCAAAAATTCAGTGGTTCATCAAGCTGGACTTTGGTCTGCTGTTGATTCTCTATCTGGGGTAAGTAAATATTTGTTCATGTCTCCCCAGTAATAGTCTCACACAACAACTGCTAACGTTAAAACAAGTAGAAATTACAAAATATGTAAGATTTTCCTCAAGATGTCCTATTGTTCCCAAAGAATAATAAAAATGTGCTCTTAACAGAATGCAAAAATATGATGGCAAGATCACTGACTTGACCTACACAATATTTAACTGGGTTATAAGTAATCAGGACATTATCATCCATCCCTGAGATTTCCTACAAAAGCATGTGGCACACAATACCATTGATATACAAGACACTCAAATATGCTGGGTGAATTTTTTTAATAAAATGCTAATGGTGCTTATTTTAAAGAAACCATCATACATAAAATACATAATTTTTCATAAATGGTATGTGCAAGAACTTGAACATTTCTCAGACTTAAAAAAGTTTGCCACCCTGTCAATCACTCTGTTGAGTGTGGGAATGAAAGAAAAGGAGATGAGCAGTAACCTTGGGACCTGATCATCACACGGCACAACTATTGACCCAAGTCAGGACACAGCCTCCACTGACCTCCACTGACATGCACTTCATAGAGGGAATACTTGGGAGAGGACAGCATGCGCATGTCAGGGCGGAACTTCTCTGCCAGTGTTTCAATCACATCTTGAGTGGTTGCTGTGCTAGATACCCGAATGCATTTTGTTGCGAAGTTTCCAGCAGCTTTATCTTGAAAATAAAATCTCATGACTCCATGAAACTCCAGATCCTACAAGAAAACAAAATATGTTATTGGAGAAGTCACTCTGAAAATATTCACTTTCTAGTGATAATAAATGAAAAAACTATCCATTAGTTTTTTGTTTTTTTTTTTTTTCAAATGTTTATCACAAACATCTAAGAAGTTAGAAAATGGGTTTTTAGTACTCAAGTATAATTTTGAACAGTTGTCTAGAGCAGCATTTCTCAACCTACGGGGTCAAAGGACCTTTCACAGGGGTCACCTAAGACCATCAGAAAACACAGATGTTTACATTACAGTAGTAAAGTTACAATTATGAAATAGCAACAAAAATAATTTTATGGTTGGGGGTCACCACAACATGAGGAACTGTATTAAAGATCACAGATAAGGAAGGTTGAGAACTACTAGTCTAGAGTTTCTTTTTGCCTTACCTCTCACATATAAAATAATAGCAGTAGAGCAGTGTTGTGGAATATTATTTTAAGATGTGTTACATTTGCTTATACTGTGGAATATTTATTTAGTAATACAAAGATGTGTTACATTCTTTTATGTTGCATTTTATTTAACTCTGTGAAGCTGTGTTACTTTTCCTGTCTAAAACATGTGATGGTCTAATAAAGAGCTGAACAGCCAATAGCAAGGCAGAAGAAAGGACAGGCAGGGCTGGCAGGCTGAGAGAATAAACAGAAGGAGAAATCTGAGAGAAAAAAAGAAGCAAGAGAACAAGTAGAGGAGGATGCTAGGGGCCACCCATCCAGCCACACAGCCAGCCATGGAGTAAGAATGAAAGTAAGATATACAGAAGAAAAGGAAAAAGCCCAGAGACAAAAGGTAGATGGGATAATTTAAGAAAAGTTGGCAAGAAACAAGCCAAGCTAAGACCAGACATTTATAATTAAGAATAAGCATCAGTATGTGATTTGTTTGGGAGCTGGGTGGCAGGCCCCCCAAAAGATCCAAAGAGCAAAAACTAACCAACAACATTTTGGTGTACCAAATGGGGCTCTTGAATTTCCAAAGGGCTTGAGAAGAGAAAGCTTAAAAAAAATAAAAAGGACACGGCTCTTTTAGGAGGTGCTGCTGTTCAGTCAGCAGGGCAGCACTAAATAAAAATGGCAAGCTAAGTAAAAACCACCTGTGGCAATACAGGTACCGGCTTTCTACAGCTAGGAAAGTTGAATGCAGTTCCTGGTCACATGCCTCCAACCTGGCTGTGAGTTTTAGGCTTGGCTTTCACAAACCCAGAGGTGGACAGAGCCAGCCACGAGAGCTGCTCAGAGGATCCGGTGTAGCTTAGCAGTCTAAAGTTTGCTCCTGCTGTAAAAAAGGCTAAAAGACACATGGCAAAAGAGGTCTAGATGGAATAAACCTCTAAATAGGTTCCAGTGTGTTTTACAATGAGCACAGGCTTAAGAAAGAAAGAAAAGGGTTATGGCCAGTCATAGAAATAGTTTAAATATAATAAAGTCTTTAAAGAGAGAAGAAAATAATAAAAGAGAATAAGCCACGTAGAGATGGGAAATAGAGAGTCTGGATCCTGTACGTTATTGTATTGCTTTTGAATTTTTTGGTTGTTGAGAAGCAAACAACAGCTGCTAAGAGACCTGGAAAAGAGGAACTGATGAAATAAACCAGCCTATACACTTTAGGAATGCCTTAACTTTAAAAAAATTAGTCAAAAAATATATTTGTCAAATGGAAATCAAAATGCTTTCGAGTTCTGTTCCCACAGGAGACAGGAAACGAGAGATTGTGGATTCCTTCAGGAATGAGATGGATCAGGTTTGATCAAAGGAGACGTCTTGACCTTCACAGGTAATATCTATCAGCAAAGATTACTGCTGGTCTTCCCAGGATATGGCCATTATCTCAAAAATTTCTCAGGAATCCTAAAGATACTTCGTCTACAGACAGCAAGAAGCAGTTTGGAGAACACAACGCCTATATTCCCAAGGGGGGTGTGGGAGGCTTTTGGTTAATTAGTGGGTCATGGATATTTGTTATATTTAGGGAAATATAGGAATACAGGATAAAAACACAATTATTAATCTCAGATATTTTGCATTGGCATGGATTTTGGTATATTGATACAAATTTAAAGTTAATTTTGTTACATTGTATATATATTTCTACTCTTGTTTGGGATATTGTGTTTATGCAGTTCATTTAAAATGCAATTTATAAATAAGAAATGAGGTTAGCAATAAGTCTGTAATAATCAAACTTGCAGTAACATTAGGTATGTTTTCTAGGTTAAATAAGCATATTTTAGATAGATAAATGGTTTTAAAATACTTCCAAGGCCTAAAGAATATGGCATTTAAAATGTTTTGTTAAAGTTTTTCATGACACAGTGAGACACATCTGCTCCTGGCAGCACCAATTTACTTAAAAGAAGATAATAGGCATTGAAGAAACTCCTTATGGAGTTTGGTTTCATTGTGGCAATGTTAGCCACTGGGTAAAGAAACTTCTCTTGCCTTTGACTACTGACAATGTACTGTGCAGACTGGACATGCAGGATGCACAGGAAAAAGACCACTGAACTTTGCCAAAACAAGGCAGGACAGTCCTTCAAATTTCCTACTTCACTAAAAAGTTTGCCATATATTCTGGACCTGTAGGCTGAAGGTGGATGCCACAAGATTGCAGAGGAACTTTTTGGGTGACTGTCCAGGAAGTCAAATGTCTCTGTTGTATTATATCCTTCTGGGTCTTTGATGGAGTTGAAGACTAGATAGTTATAGTTGCAGCTTTCCTGAGTTATGATAGAAAATAAATTAGGTGTAAAACTTTGGATTCTCAGGGTGATGGTAGCGCACGCCTTTAATCCCAGCACTCAGGAGGCAGAGGCAGGTGGATCTCTGTGAGTTCGAGGCCAGCCTGGGCTACAAAGTGAGTTCCAGGAAAGGCGCAAAGCTACACAGAGAAACCTGTCTCAAAAAACCAAATAAAATAAAATAAAATAAAAATTTGGATTCACTAAGATAGTATAGATAATGCATTATTTTTTCTGAATATACTAACTACAAATGGACAGACTATTGTAAATGTAATTCTTACTTGATAATTGTTTTTGTTGTGTATAGTTTTACTATGTTAAAGTTAAAACCTTTTATTTTTATTTAGACAAAAAGGGGGGAATGTTGTGGAATATTATTTTAAGATGTGTTACATTTGTTTATGCTGTGGAACATTTGTTTAATGATGCAAAGATATGTTGCATTCTTTTATGCTGCATTTGTTTAACTCTGTGAAGCTGTGTTACTTTGCCTGCCTAAAACACCTGACTGGTCTAATAAAGAGCTGAATGGCCAATAGCAAGGCAGGAGAAAGGATGGGAGGGGTTGGCAGGTAGAGAGAATAAAAGAGGAAGAGAAATCTGCGAAGAGCAAGATCAAGGAACAAGAAAAGGAAGAGAGGAGGACATCATGGGCCAGCCACCCAGCAAGATATGGAGTAAGAAGTAATAAAGATATACAAAAATAGAGAAAAGTAAAAGCCCAAAAATAAAAGATAGACAGGATAATTTAAGTTAAGAAAAGCTGGCTGAAAACAAGTCTAGCTAATGCTGGGCATTTATAAGTAAGAAAAAGTCTCCATGTGTGATTTACTTGTGAGCCAGGCCCCCAAAAGGGCAAAAACTACCAACTACAGAGCAGCTGGTATCAACAGCAACTGACATTTACTAAGTTCTCAGCCAGTGCCAGGCACAGCATGACATGCGTTGTTTGACTGTCTTTACAACCATGCTGTTTAACAGATACTATTACTAAACCCTACTTCAAAATCTCACCATTGAGCATATGATTGTTCATGTCTGTAATCCTAGCACTTGGAAAGGGGATGCAGAAGCATAAAGAGTTCAAGGCCACCTTGTATTTCAGTCTATCTCAAAGAGGAAAGAAAATGCCAGTTAACAGAATTAAAACCAAGATCTACTGGCCTGGAAGCCCATACCTGCCCAGCTCTGAGCTCTTAAAAATACCTGACATCTTCCTAATCCCAATATTAGCATTTTAAATAAATGACATTTTAACTAATTTTCTATATGGATTATCATACTAAATAAACGTTTCAGATACATCTCAAATCTTATGAAGGAAAGCAATGGTGGAATTCCAGCCCAAGGAGTTTGGTTTCACATTCTCCTCTCAACTCTAAGGCGGGCTGAGGTTCATGGAACTATGAACCTCCTTTGATTTTCTTGACAAATTCCAAAGGATAGGTCATATCTAAGTGCAGGTCGCACCCATGTCTCTAGCAGGAATCAAGACTTAGCTGTGCTATTAACACCACAGATTCTTCTTGCTGCTCACTCTTTGCATCTAATTATTAAATCAGAAACCAGGTAGAGGTAAAGCCAAGTCTTCATTTATTTACTTAACCAGGTGGTACACACACCACTGTGCTCCAGTTGAGATCAGAGGACAACTTGAAGTAGTTGTCTCTTCCTACCATGCTCCAGACATGAAGCTGTATCATCAGGTTCAGTGGCATGTAAAATATTTTTACATGCTGACTTTTATGCTTTGTGGGAGCTTTCCCTTCTCTCAGAAGCCAAATTCTCACTCAGTGACCAATAAACTCTCCAGTTTTCCCAAATCCACAACCTTTCCTGCAGATATTAATGAATTAAAAATACTCAGTTAAAGAACAAAAATCTGGGGCTGGAAAGATGGCTCAGAGGTTAAGAGGGCTGGCCACTCTTCCAGAGGTCCTGAGTTCTATTCCCAGCAACCACATGGTGGCTCACAACCATCCGTAATGAGATCTGGTGCCCTCTTCTGGTGTGCAGGCAGACTACTGTATACATGAAGAAGGAGGAGGAGGAGGGAAAGGAGGAGGAAGAAGAAGAAGAAAAACAACAACAACAACAAAAAGCAGTACTTGAATGGTGTTAGCAAGTATATAAACATGGAATTAAAGCAAAAAAAGGAAAGCAGTCAAGTATATTTCTAGTCCAGAATTTTCCGGGGCTTGTTCAGTCTTGGCCTATCAGGTGTTCTTCCTAGTGTGTC